GACCGGTTTCTCCCCGTCGAGCACCACTTGCGTTCTGTGGGCCAGGCTGCGAACTGAGGAGAAAATGGAATTACGGACTAATGAGAGCTGCGGTTTCGGATTGCAAGTGTTTTTGCGAAGTTCCCAGTTTGAGAATCCATCTTGACGGGGAACTGAGATCTTCAGTGAAGTTTAAAAATACATATTTTTCTAAGTGAATGTACTGTGTATGTGATGTGTTAGACTACAAATTCTCCATTCACACAACCAGTATATTGAGTAAAGGAGGTTGTTAGGCTTAATGTGATGCTGTTCTTTCCAATCCTGAATAAATATTTCCATTTCTGTTCAGACTTCTCTTTTGACCTTTGTGTAGAGCCTTGTCTATGAAAGGGAAAAGCGTAGTTAATATAGCCTGGAAATTATTTAAATTACTGATTTTACTAATTAAATCAGAAAGCAAAAAACCTTTATTTAAAGCATGATCTTTTCTTTGTTAAGTATTTCTATTCTTCAGATTTTTCCTTTACCTATAACCAGTTCCCATTACAAGATGCTGATCTTACCAGACACAGCTTTTAGACTTAAATCTGAAGCATGCTTTTTTCGCACCTCAAGTAGCTGCTGTCTATTTAAACACTGACATAGCTAATGCAGAGAATTCAAAATGTTAGTGTTTAATTTTTAAAATTGACAACTAGTGTAATTCTCTACCTTTTTTTTTTTGTTGTTTTTTTCCCCCTTCAGTGTGAGTAATGTCAACCTGTATTGGAGTAAGACCTGGAAACCAACTAAAATGCTTTCTAATGCTTAGGATACCTAAAGTATCGGGCAGCTGGGAAAAGAAACCTTTCATCAAAATGTTTTGCATTTAAAAATCAACTGCCTTTTATTAACAAGGGAAGTCTTGGCAGTTTGTATTGATGAGCCATGGCAGTCAGTGCTAAGTTTTAAGGTTTTAAAAAATTCTCAGTTTTTTTGTGTGAAGGATCTGAATTTTTGAACTGCTGACCTGGCCATGCTGCGACAAGCTTACCCTTGCTTTCATGATGGTGAAAGGCTTCATATCTCGCGTTACCAACCTTTTAATCAAGGGTGAGGTGAGACTGTTCGATGTTGGAAAACAGAATTAGTTTTTTTCAGAACTCGGGCAGTACTTTGGGTTTAGGCAGTTATCCGAGGTGGCTGCGGGAGGAGGAGGTTGAAGGCAGCCTGAGCCGTGTCCCAGCCCTGCATCGGTGCCGGGGACAGCTCTCCCCTCCTCGGCGCTCCCGTGGCACCCCTGCGGCACTGAGCTGTGGATATATGCGTGATGAATCCCATTTGCTTCTGTGGGTGAAAGATACGGCTCAGGTACATGCTCTCTTGCTTTTCATTGTCTAAGTGATAGGGGAGAAAAAGCTTTATTTTCTGTCCATCCTGTCGGTTTAACGCATGGACAGTAGTTTGTGTAGCGTTATTGTAAAGGGACAGGTCTGGGCTGTGATGGGGTCTAGATGACAAAGTTACGCGGGTAATTCTGCTCTCTGTACAGAAAAGGGTTGTGCATTCATTTCACACACGTGTATGTTTCTTTATTTTCCTTTTTCCTACAGTTCTCTACATCCAATGATTTTCTTCATTCTCCAAAGTTATGGCCCTCTCAAGGAGTACCAGTCAGTGATGAGTTATTTTTTAGTAGAAAAAGACCTTCAAGGAGTTTATTTCAGAATAGTATAGATTTTAACTCTGAGCATTCTTCTGTTTGTGCTGGTAAGTATTAACACAGAAAAGTGTTTGATCTGCTATTTACAAAACAGATGTAGAACCTGAGCATAAATTTGTAGCTTCATGAGTATGGTTTATCATTTGTTGTTCGTTTGTTTTGTTATTTATTTTCATTTACTACAAAGAGTGGAGTACTAGGCGCAGGGCTGTGCCTCCAGCTGGAGCAAGCGGCAGCAGTCCCATCCATGCTCCTGGAGAAGTGTGCTTCTTAGACTTAGACTTAGACTGCTGTTTTCCAGTCCTGCTGTACACACGCAGATTTTCACTAGTTTGGATAGACCCAACAGAGTTTATAAATAAGCTTTTTTTGCAGATATCAAGACCAAAAAGAAATAGCGTGGTTACGTGAACAGATGTATTGAACAAAAGGGCTCGGGATATCCCTGAGATGTAGAGCTTTCTGCTGCTTTTGCAGGATTAGGGGAAAGTACCAACATGTAGGTCAGCAGCAGAGTGATTCAGCCAGCATTCTTCCACACTGTAAATATGAACTGCAATTAAAGCAGTAAATTAAAAGGAGACAGAATTTTACTGACTTTTGAGCTGGGATGCGTTGTTGGCTAGAATCAGTCGCTTTTGTAGAACGTATGCTGTCAAGAGTGAGCTGATAGCGGCGGCAGGGTATGAAATACCATCAACTGGACAACGTGTTGGGAAGGTCATATTTACGTGCGGTAGGCTGTTCTGGAGAGCGGACCAGTGCATATCTATTCTAGATTTGCATATTTTCTCTTTTTGCTTTGTATAAGCAGATAGGGTAGAAAGCTGCCTGAGGAGTGAGCGCTAAAGATTGTTTTAAAAAATGAAAAAAGTCATGTTTTTGAAAACCAGGTCTGTAGAAGATTTGTAAGTGTAGTGCTCCACTTAATTTATGCAAGCAATGTAGACTCAGTGATTGTATTTTAATAGCTAAAAGGCATGTGGAAAGACCGGACAAGACCAGGCCTGATTTATTCTCTTCAGTTGGCGGTAGGTTATATTCTCGGCTGTCTGAGGCGCGCCGACGTGTGTGGCATGCCAAGTTTGCTCAGTGCTGTGCTAGGAGTGACATCCCTCTAAAGAAACTCACTGCATTTTGGGGTTTTAAGGTGTTGTCTTCCTTTTATTGTAATGTATTCGAAGAGGTGGTTCGTTTGGGTTTTTCTTTTGACCCCCTGCAATTCTCAGGGTTGGAAAAGTGCCCTGGGAGAACGGCCAGCCATTTTTCCAGTTTGTGCCTATGAACAGTACTATGAGGTTGCTTAGAAACTCTTGAATTAAATACTTTCAAAGTAGTTATAGTTTACACTGAAAGTTAGACAGAGTTTTAATTCACTATTAAATATTATTGTATATTTTTCATTGAATACCGTATGTTAAGTATTATCTAGTTATTTGTGTTTTTCTTTTGAAAGGTGCTATGGGCTCTCGTCAGCCGCAAATTTCAGGGAAATGTGGAACACTTGGATACATACAGACACGTGGGAAGAGTGGTAGTGTGGACTCTGATTTACAATTTTTAGGATTAAATAACTGTCAGCAAGACAAAGGTATATGGATTTTAACTGTATCGTAAGTCAGTGCATGTTACTTTTGAAATATGTCTTTATTTCTGTGCTGCCTTAAGAAATAAAAACTATTACTAAAATGCTGTTCGGTCCCTATTCAGATGTGTTGGTGCCTCGCTCCCGTGTGATGCTTTTCATTCGTGGTTATTAATTTGTAATCCACACCTGGGGTATCTGACTGTATCTGCGTGCTATATAAAAAACGGTACTGTAACAGAATCGGAACTCTTTTTGAAAAATTGATTTTTAGAATTCTGTTAATGGCGTGGATAGATCAGTCCAGCCTGCTTAGCAGCAAGGGCCCGCTCGGAGCCTTGCCCCTCCAAGACGGGTAACCTACGTCTGTCGGCCCCCTCTAAGGTGCGGAGGGCGGCCGCGGTGCCTCGGCAGCAGCCGCTGAAGGTCGGGGCACGGGCTGCTCCTCGCTGAGCACAGCAGCCGGCTGGCAGTGACCTCGCCGTGCTGCACAGACGCTGTGTTGGTGCACGTTGCTTTGATTTGTGTGGTCTCTGTACCGCTTTTACTAGACGGGTAGCCAGGGCCCTGCCATGTCAGGCGGCTTTTGCTGCTAGTTTCAAAGGTGAGGCTAAGGATTTGATTGAGTGCACCTTAACCCCAGAGCTGGAGGCTGAGACAAATCAGGACCTGTAACACGTATCAACTTGTCTGTTTGTAAGTAGTAGTAATAATAAAAATGCCAGATGTATGCTTCGTGAAGGAATAAACTCACTGTCTGGAGGAATAGATGGTGGTGATACCAAATCTGTGGCCAGAGCTGCTTTGAGTGGTCCAGGTGTGTTGGACAAGGGATAGAGCTGACAGCCTTCTTGGAAGATGTGTAGGAACTTCATTTACTCAGTTTACTTCTACCCACTTATGGGCTCTAGATACTGTGTTTTTCTCATGCCTATGGAAAGTAAGGAGGAATTTCCTCTTTGGTTTTTGCCTCTCTTCTCTTAGCCTCAGTCTTTAGAAGGCTGTCAGGTACGTTGCCCACGCTTGCTGATGTATTTCTTTGCAAACAGTTTTTGTGACAGATACTGTTGTTACTTGAGGCTTTCTGTGGTAGTACAACCCACACCTGACTTGGTTGTCTCAGTTTTGCTGCCCCAGGATACCCGGGGAGCGCCGGGATGCTGCAGCCTTGGAAAGCAGCAGGAGCAGAAGAGACCTTGGAGCTATCTGATTTGCAAGGGGATTTTTTAATTCTATAACTAAAGGCATAATCGAATGGTTTTCTTTGGAGTGACACAGGTGACTGAATAGATTCCCCAAGCCCGACTCACACTGTCGCTTGTTCTCCCTCCTGGGCTGTGCTTTCCCATTCTCCCAATTGTGCCAGTGGAATTGTCTGTGGGCTGTTCTCTCAACGAGATTGCTGAGGTGGCCCAACTTACAATGATCCTTCCAGAGGCTGTCAGGAACTTTGTTAAAACTTGTCCTCTTTTTCACTTGCATGGTTAAAAGCCTGAGTGCATGCGGGGAACCTGCATCTGGTTTTCATGGGAAACAAAAGTCAAGTTCCAAATTATACTTATCTTTCCATTTTCCACCTACTGGCTTCTGGAAGAAATAGTTTTTTTATATTTTCGATTTTTTAAAAGGAAGTAGAATGTATAACATTTGTGCCTTATTTGTACTCATGTATCACTGAGTTTTGAGAGTGGTGTTTGCAAATTTTATGCTATGCAGGCTTGGAATACGGAGCAGCAAGCAACAGAACCATGTTCAATCTACTTGCGTCATTTGTTTTTAAAATGTAATTCTTCAAACCATGACTGCAAAATAGCTTAGGCTCAAAGTCATTTGTTGATCAAATGCAGAAAAAGGAAATTGGTATTTTGAGAGACAATGCAATTTGCAAAATTAGGTTAGCATATATGTCTGCTTGGGTAAAATGCTGACCTTCAGTTTTGACTATCTAGAGGGTGTATTATTTCATTGTAAATTGTTATTATAAGAGCTGTCAAAGAGGCTAATTACCACACATACTATTCTCTTTTTCTTTGCTCAGTTTGTGCCAGTCTAAATTTTTCCAGCAAGACCCAGAGGAGTTTTTGCAATCAAGCGGAGCATGCGGTGCCCTTCCAAGGTCCCAGTACAAGCCAGGGCACCTTCATTCTGCCCTCCTACCCTCTGACATCACCCAGGAACAGCCCAAAGCACATCTCCTCTCCAGCTGACTCCCCAAAGAAGTCACAAGATAATACCATGAACTTTTCAAACTCCTGGCCTCTTAAAAGCTTTGAAGGACTGCCTAAGCCTAGCTTACAGAAGCAGCTTCTCGGCCAAAAGTCGGGAGACAATACAGGTAGGAATGTTGTCAATATAATGAAAATGGATTTCAAGTTTGCATTTTGAGTGGCTTCAAGCAGTGGTCAGAAAACCTACAGTGGCAGGTAAATGGAGAATTATGCAATGCCCCAACTGCAGTTAGAAGCGCGAGGGTTTTACAGCTGCACTGGTTTAGTCACATCACTGGAGGCTTCTTTTAAAAAGTGAAGTCTTTCTATTTTGGTAGTTTCAAACACTGGTATGTTTTGTTCCTTTTGTCTTGTAAATACGTGAGATAAAGCGTAGTATGCATCACCTCTGGTTTTCTTATCAGTAATGTATCAGTGAAGAGTTTGCCTTCAAACTAAAATAAAAACAAACCCCAAAATCTAGCACTTTTAAAGAAAGCCAATACAGAAACAACTGGTACTTTTAATACTCTAATTAACACATGCGCAAGAAAATAGTACTCGTTGCATTTTGACTTTTTGCCTCTTTATTTTCCTTTGGAAACTTATGTATCGAATTTACCACACTCAGAAAAACTTTAAAACCTGGTTACAAACAGCTCCATCTCTAAGGATTGGAATCTGTGCTGATTTCATCCCAATTTAGACTAACAGCTAATGGCAGAGACTGCTATTTATGGTCTGATTTTCTCTGTGAAGACCTCATGTACAAATTGGTTAACCAGAAATAGTTTTAAGTTTATTTAATTACAGTTGCTTAAATGATTTAGCTGACTTCCTTCAAATACTTACTAAAGGCAATCTTATTTTCGGTTTAAGATAGCTTTAGTATCTGTTTAGCTTAAACTGATTCTTAATCACTCATGAGGCATATCTTCTGTAAGGAAAGTAACAGATTCCACATACAATTTTGCATTGACTTAAAGAGATCTTTTTTAAATTTCATTTTCACATGCACATATTTTTGCACATAAGTAGAAAATCTCTAAATTAATTCTTTGGAAGTTCACCTGTCCCTGGAACGCATGTAATTTTATCTTGCAGATATGTGTTCATCACCTGCTCATTTTCTTTATATTATCCATATGCATTTAATTTTTTTTTCTGTTTCTTTAAAAAACAGTTTCTTCTTTATAACAAGAAGCTTACAGGAGAGTTTGTTACAGCACCAGACTTTTCCTTAATTAAGGAAGTTAAATACTTTTTAAAGGTACTAAGTATATGTTGGTATGCACATGCATGAAACACTAATTTATATTTTTTAACAGAAGGAGACACTAAAGGTAGAGATTAGCTGAAATGCAGGGAGATGGAAAAGGTAGAGTCAGGAGGTAATAGAAAATACCATGCCGTGAGGCAAGTCTGGTAACATCCTCATGATTTGTAAAATTAAATGTTGAAAAATGGGCATAAGTAAGTATTCAGGAACGGGGGCTTGGCGCATTTGGAAAATGGATGTTGGAGACGGAATATTGAAAGTTCTTCAAATGATGAATCGTATAAAAATAAGGTTAGATAGGGAATCACTATCTTGTTCATGTGAGAAACTTACTTTCGTCTGTGTGTGTATGTATACATGTGTATATATTTATACACATGAACATGTGTAAACATGCATACATGAAGGAACTGAGGAAGGGGTTCGGTGACATCAGGTCTTACGTAAAAGGAAGTACTTTTTTAATGCTCATGGTGGAGCCGACTGCTGCAGGCTGCTGCAGATGCCAAAAGCAAGGATTTATTGATAAAGGCAGTGGACGTGTGTACCAGGACGGTGGGTCACCTCTGACCGAGGAACTGCCTAAATCCTCGCTGAACACTCTGACGTGTCGGTATCTTTCCTGGTTATAGGACGGGTCTTTCGTCCGACTTGATACAGCTGTTCTTATGTCCTTACTGGCTTTATTCAAATTTGCTCTTACTCAGCCAAACAAAATGAAATGTATTTATAACAGTAAATAAAATTGTGTGCATAAGTATGTTTTTTAACACTCGCCTCATTGTAAATGAAGTTTTCTGGTGTGACATAGAAATGAGACATGAAGTTTATTCTGGTGAGTGCTATGTTCCTGCCACCCCGTCCAAAGGACCGACATCTGCTTGTGTCTTCTTCAGGGGAGAGTTTACAGGAGAAACATTCTGCTCTGCAGCTGAAACCCACCCTGGTGAGACACCCAGCCTCCTGCAGGGGCCTGAACGGGACCAGACCAGTGCCCCCCATACCCCGCCTTGCTAGCCCGCTGCCCGATAAGATGGAATTAAATGTGACGAAGTGGAGAAACGAAAAGTGCGAGGACATGTGGCTGAATGAAGTGGATAGGAAGCTTGCAGCTGATCTTTCAGAGCTAAATGTTGATGTCGAGGAAGTGGACCAAGAAGAGGTTGGTTTAAATATGACATAACGCACTTTTAACAGTTGATATATTGAAAGCTTTTTTTTTTCCTAAACAAGAGCCAGAAGATAATGTTTCTGACTTAAGTTTTGTGACACTAGTACAGCAGGTTTCAATGAGATACCATTGAGTGTCTGACAGAAGCAAAGTAAAGCAATAGAAACGGATGTTGAAGCACACTTCCCATGTTTGTTCCAGACATCTTAATTCCCCTTGTTTTTTTCAGAGTTCAAGTACTAATGTTTTCAGTTGTTGTACTACCAAGGCAGAACTGTGGACATTTATGCAGCTTCTGTTCTCATTATCTTGACTTCATTTTACATTTCATGTCAGATTTAAGTAATAATCCTTTCTTTAGTTATAGCAAAGGGCCTGAAATAATGAATAACTTCCCTGATGAAGGGTTCATTTGACTCAGCCCGGGAGCTTCATCAGCCTCCCGGCATTGCTGAAGCGGGCTGTCCCTGATATCCACGCAGCGCGTCCCAGCTCTCTCAGAATTCAGTCATTTTTTCATGGAGTGAAATGAGAAGAACTGATGTGAAGCTGGATGAGTGTGATGTCACCTGCAGCTGTTTGATATGACACAGACACATTTGACATTAGGCCTGGCAGGTCAGCATCCCTCCTGTATGTGGAAATCCACTAGTAATAATTTGGGCCAATTATATGTATTCAGTAGCCAGTGTTTTGAGTGTGCCACTCAACCTGTGACTTAGAAAATATTTAAAATATTTAATACCTTTAAAAATATATAGCTTCTGTGACCCACGAGACTTGTCGAACAGACTTATTCTAGCATCTCCCTTTACTGGTCCACGAAACACTTTGCAGCCAGTGTAGCTTTAGATCCCACACGGCTGTTTCTCAGTCGCATGGCTTGTCTAGTAAGATCCCCCTGTGTAGAGCAGAGAGCTAGTGCCAGTCCCCGCCGCTGTAGCTGCTGAAGGATCCTGTCACTCCCTCTGTTGCTCCAGTCTCTCTGATGTTTGAGAAATACCAAGTAACTGCACCAGTCTAGGACATAGAAAAATACTGCAGAGGCATGCTGGATTATTTCCAGGGGAGGTGGAACTGTATCTGCAGTGTCCTCATCAGTACGAATCGAAACCCTTGCAACATTGATTAGGTGAGAAGCATAGGTATTGCATATGATTGGATTTTGTATGATCTTCCCTGCATTATCCCGTGTAACACGTCCTTATTTCTGTCACAGTTCACAGAAATTGTGTGAATCTCAAATCCTGTCTTAAGTCCCTGTGGATCTGAGAGCAGCTGCAGTAGGACTTTGCCTTACTGCCTTTATCTTCCATCCTCTAGTCACTACTGAAAGTAACTTGAGGTGGTAAACAGACAGCGGAAGAATTCTTTTTACATCAAATATATTCAGCAAAAAGAGGAGAAAATATGCAGTAGTGTGAAACTCCAGTCATTGTAGATTTTCCTCCTTATTTGAGTAGGAGCTCTGCTTGCAGGCACAGTTTTCAGGATTCACTCCTACATATTTTGCAGCTTTGTGCAGCTGTCTTGTGAAGAGCTGAGGTCCCAATTGTGTGTACTAGCAGCCATCAAACACTTCCTTTGGTCTATTGAAAAAGATAAAAGCAGCTGATGTCTTTTTGCAGGAATCTGGTCTTGTATTTTGCAAAACGAAGGGAGGAGACAGTGTCGCTGTGCATTTGCATTTACTTGCAGGGTAATTATTCTTGTGAAGTAAAACAATGAAAGGGTTCATTATAATACTGTGTAAACGGTCAGTCACATTGCCCAATAGAGGCATCTGCACTGAACTCCTGTGAATTGAACTGAACGCTCAGAAACATACTTTCTATTGCTTAAAAAAAGCTTTTTTTCCTATGCAGTGAATAAAACCTGTCATTTTGTTTTCAATCCCGATTAGATGCAGAATTCACTTAGATCTCTACGAAACAGCGCAGCTAAGAAAAGGGCAAAGCTAAGCAGCAACATTTCAGATCTTGAAAGTCCCGATTCTGCTCTTAAACTTGATCTGTCCATGGATTCCCCCTCCCACGCTTCCTCCCCGAGCGCGGGCTCCTGCGGCGAAAGCGGAGTGTACAGCCAGGAGTCCCTGACTTCACCTGTGTCCACAGGCCCCCAGAGAAGGAGAATACCGTGAGTGGAACTTGTGTGTTAACACCCCCTTGAAATTCTCACACAGTCTGGTGGTGTTATTTAAATGATAAAGGGGATGAAATCTGTGACATATTTTTTATATAAGATTGCTTTGCTTAGTAGCTTGATTTTTATATGTGAATTATTTTCCTATCTAAAAATACGTTGCTCTATACGATAGTTGCTTAATTATATTATTCCAGTTTGTGTTGGCTTTTAATTTGGAAGAGTTCCCCGGTGCAGCCGTAGTAACACAGTGCAGTGAAGTACTGCCAGTGGTAGTAAATATTTTATTAAGACTTTAGTCTGCCATAGAAGGTATGTGAACCATAGCCTAAACAAATGAGTAAGGAAGAGAATGAGTTAAGAGGAAGGATGAGGTTTGCTTATTATAGGCTGGAAATTGAAGAAGGAATGGGTTGGTTTTTTGCGATAAGAGGAAGACAGTGGAGACGTTTCTTATTATGGCGAATCGTGAACTGTTTCCATTTTATTACTGACAGACTATTGTTAATTTAAAATGCCTTCACAGAGCTCTTCTAAAAAGAAATTGTATGATGACACATGCTACTCTGATTGTGAAGAGCAATGACCCAGTTGGTTATTAGCAGTATAAGCTATTTTATTTTTTAATGAAATAAAAAAGTTTTTGAGGAATTTTGCAGTACAGAATCTCCTTTTCTGCACTCGGAGCCCATGATAAAGCCGCTTGTAGCTCTGATCTGAAGTTATCTTTCATTTTTGTGTGTACTGAATGCATCTTTATATAACTGGCGTACAACTGTGTTAACAGAATAGGAAGGGAGGGAATATCTTCCCTATCTGCATTACTGTTGAATCACAGTTTTAAAAATAATCTTTAAAATAACACATTAAAATGCTAGAATACCTAAAAAGTCAAGACTATAAACTTCTGCATATGATGTTTTTCCAGGCAAGGTTTTGACTAGGAGGTGTTCTGTACAACATACCATTTCCATTAGTCAGTGACACACAAGCTTAATGTTTTACAGGATTCACAGTACAGGAATTCTGAACTAGCAAGGAAGAGAGGGGACATCTGGCAGGAAGACTGAATTTGTAGAAGTGACAGAATATATCCCAGAAGACATTAAAAGCCTTGGAACGTTCATAAAAAGTTGAGAGTTGAGTTCAGATGCTGGCTTGCGAGTATTGTAAATTGTCACTTTCTGTTCACAAAATCTGTGTAGTTGGGCAACAAAAATGTAGGCTGCTTCTGTGTATTTACTTTTAGAAGAATCAGTTTATCCACTGATAAACTACCGTGAGCAATGGGAGCTTGGTACTGGTATTAGTGAAGCTTCTGAAGCATGAGACTTCCTCAGGATCTTAAAAGCAACTCCTCTATTGGGTGTATTGCAGTCCTAGCAGAACGTGGAACAGCGCTGGTTCTCTGTGACTATTGCATAGGTACGCATAGTATTTAACAGCGCAGGGCTCTGGGTTCAATCATCTTTAATATTCAAATGCATCATTTTAAAAAAGAAGTATCAAGATTGTCTCGTAGATAACAGCATATTCCTGGTGAATGTCTGTGTGCTAGACACTGAGCTGAAAAGAGCTTACTCTTAAGAGCTGTCTTTATGGTGTTCTTCATCACGGACCTGCTCATCAAATAATTTCTAGTGAATTCATTTTCTTTTTCTAGTCAGCGTGAACATTTGTGGAAGTATACTGGAAATATGTGTCCACCAAGTACATTGGGGAGGAGAAGCTGAGATCTGTTGTTGTCTTTGCTACAGCATGTTATTTCTGGGCTCTGACTAGTGTGCAGAATTGTACCCATAAAAATTTGTTGTATATTTTAACAGCTCAGACACCTTTCCACTACTTGGCAGCAAATCACAGCCTGCAAGAGTACCTTCAGCACGAAGCAGAGACCCAAATGTGGCAGAACAGAACTCCAGCACAGGTATTTCATTGTGCATACCAGTACATACCTTGCTTCATTGATGTAACAGAATGGTCACTTGATGTGTCTGTTCTTACTTGTTCAATGAGCTCACGTCCCTTCAGCACTTAAAAAACGGTAATTGCTAGACACTCTTTGGTCAAATGAGATTATACTGTGGTACTGCAGGTGGGAAGCCACTCCAGGGTTTCCGCCTTTCTGTGTCAAGATAAACTGGGTTAATGCAAATGCCACCTGTGAGTATATGCCCTTCAACATTCAATGCAGTATTGTGTCAAAATCATTGGACACCAGCTGGATAAGAGTAGGAAGGGTCCAAATGTTGCAAGTGGTTAATTTCCTGGTAGGAATTTGAAGTTAAGTGATGCTGTTCTATTTTACGCTTACGGTGATCTACAGGCAACTGGAGATTTCTGTAATGGGCAGAAACTGATTGTTTATGATTATTTATGTTTACTCAATTTTGATTCAGCTGGATGGCAATGTTTCCTTAGAGAAAAGGAACTGCGGGAGCTGTGTCCACAAAGTTCTTTTCTGACCTCTCTGACCAATGATTGCTCTGTTGCACCCTATTGCAGCCTCAGCAGCTATGTATTTTTTCCAAAAAGTTTACAAAACTTAGTTCAGTTAAGATTGGAGGGCATCTTATAGGTCTGAATTTGCAAAGCCATCACATCCAAAAACCAGTAGCTGCTGCTGAGTTGCAATTAAAAAATTGAGGCTGTTGCTATTCTTTTCAGCTAAGGCCACTTTTCTCAGGATAAATTAGCAAGTAGGTTTGTCAAGTAACAGCTTAACTCAGTAAGCAAATACTGTGCTTGCATAGTAGTATGTGGTGGTGTTGCTTAATGATTTTGCATTCATTATATGAAAAGACTTGTGAGAAGTTGATCTTCAGTGTAAAAGAATGAGCAGCACATTCATTTTGCTTATTGAGCCAGTTAATCAACCAGAATGCACAGCACTGGACCTGGTGAAGAGCTGACAGCCTTCAATCATACCAATGGTAAGGTTGTTATAATTCATGTGCAGCTAACTGGTACAGAAAGGTCCTTTGCTCCCACTACTGACTGGGCTTGGCCCATCACACAAGTCAAATCTCAAAAAGCTCTGAATTTTTACACTGGAACTTGGAGAACTTGTAAAAATCAACTTGGTATTTACCGGTCTCATCAGATGAAAGGTATTTTCTAACACTGAACATAAATCCTCCTTATCTCATTATACTTTTATTTTATATGAAAGGATGGAATATTTTCTTCTTTCAAGCAGCTACCTTTTTAAATTTTTTTCTTCCCTCTTTTTCTGTCCATAAGACTAACTCCCATTTTTTCTAGCTTTCCTTCATAAGTCAGAGTTTATGGACTATTTAACCGGTGCCATCGAGGCTGTTTTCAACAGATCTACCTCTTTCTTGAAGTGCAGTACCTGTGCAATACCCGTGTGCACTTAGAGTTGAAAGGAGTAGGATTACTACGTGTACCTATGCAACTGTTCATGTATCCCTGCACGTTTGCCCTTTCGCTGCTTATTTCTCACCTTGTCTTTATATGACTGATTGTTTGTGCTCATAGGTGGAATTCGCCTTGGCAAACTGTAGTGGTCTGAAGCGTAGACATCTGTTACAGCTATTAGCCTAAAACTCCCTTGGTCATCAGGGGGGAGGGAGGTTTCTACAGCAGCTGTGTTGTCTGACCCGTGCAAGACATCTATTTTAATATGTGAAGAGCTGCTCCCTGGATGTGTCTCTGCAGAGAAACTAGAAAGCTTAGAGGAGATAGTTATGGTTGCATTGTTGTAAAACATGCAAAATCAGTCCTGTCCTACCTGTCTTGCACTTTTCCTTTTGTATTGCAAACTGGTTCTTCTTGGGTCATTCTTCTACTTTATCATGAATTGCTTGAACCCAGATCCTGCCCTCAAGCATGTGTGTATGCTGCCCATTTACTGTCCTTTACTTGAATTCAGCATACTGCCTCATTGTCAAGCTGTTTGGGCAGAATATCGGGTGGTACCGGGTCCTGAAGAGCCTGCAGAACCCTGCTTGATGCATCCCTCCATTTTGAGAATGAAGCTTTTGGTAACTACCCTGTGTACATCTGCCTGGGATGACATATGGCACTTGCCACTTCTTTCCTGCTCACAAGGTCTGTTGCTGCATTATAAAAGGAGACCAGATTTCTCTGATCATACTGTTTTCTGGCAGCTGCTTCCGTATTTGCCCTGACACAGTCCCAGGAACTGAATTGCCCAGCCTGTCGGTCAGTTGTTCTCTGGCTCCTCCTTCAACTTTTTTCTGTTTTTTTTAAGGGTTTAACATTTTGCTCTTTTCTGTTCTGGAAATGTATTTGTCCCTTACTTGTCATTAATTTGTTGACCAAACTCAGATTGCTTCAGCTGTTTCTCTGAGATGAATTTTATCAGCTTCTCTTAGCTTTGTTATAATAGAAGGACATTTCTTACTTCCCAAATTCTTTTTGTAACATGTAAGTTTGTGCAGCTTTTAATAGGTGACGCCTTGAAAACCTGTCTGTCTGCTGTCCAAGCCTGTAGCTCATCTTTCCCCTGACAGTTTCAGAGGCCATGAGTGCTGTTGTACCAAATACAGCAGTTAATGGATCAGTCCTGACACGTGAGGTTTTAATGTTGATCTATGAAACACTATAGCAACTGGACTTCATTGGGACAGCACAGAAATTCATGCTCAAGGAGTTCTTGGACCTTACGGTTATCTGGACGTGTAGTAATTTTCCAGAGCACCTTACGCCAGACCAGATTTTAGGGCACCATCCATAGTGTTCCTTGCTGCCAGGGCCCGACCATCTCAAGAGTCCCACAGCAAAACACTCCCTTTGGTTTCCATCCCCTAGCAGAACAAAACAGCCTGCTCTGATGTGAGTTGTCAGCTGAAGAAGAGAACACAAGGAACCTTTGTAAGGATTTTGGTACGACTCTTGATTTCACGTGGACGTGGTTGGGTTGACAACGATGGCCACCAGTGCAGAACTTCAAGACAGATGGATATAGGCGGGTCGTAGGACATGCATCACTGCCATCACGTCTACGGCAGTGGGAAGCAGAACCACTGCCTGGTACCCCTCGTAGCATGCTAAGGAAGATGCCTGGGGCACTCCAGTTGCTGGGATTACCAGAGTTACTTCAGCCAGTCACCTCGGTTGTGCCTATCAATCCCTTCCATTAAATGTGGGGTTAGTTCCATGGAACTTGTGGAGTATGTAGTAAAAGCACGTGAATGAAAATACTTCTGTCTTTTTAGGTATTTTAATTTCAGGGATATTTGGAAAAGCAGAAATGATCCTTTAAAGGATTCCTGAAGTAGTTAGTGTTGGTTTTTTGGTGGTTTTGGGTTTTTTTAAACCAGAACTAAAATGTGTTGAGAATGTTTTGCAGGCATAAAAATGGACAGTTTCTATTGTCTGTAATTGTAATTTTGTAATTGTGTTTTATGACCTCTAGGGTACGTAAATTGAAAGATTTCTTGTGTTTTAACTAGTATTTTACTGTTTTCACTTAGATGACTTATGACTTAATTTGGCTTTCAGTGCTGAATTACTTAGCATTCAGTTGTTCATACTTGAAAGACTTTAAAAAATAATTTTTCTGGCTTTGAGTTAGATTTTCAGGCTGGGTTTATCTGTAGATGAAAGCCTTTGCATGTGTAAAATTAATAAAGCCTGAGCATCTTTGTTGAAATGCTCAGATTTCTATAGGCAAAAATGCTCATACTGTATGCATAAAACCAGTCTGAGGGTCTCTGAAAATGTAACTGTTTGAGAATCCTGTAGTACACAGGAAAATCTATTTCTAATTTTTTTTAATATTTGATTTTTTTCCTTTTGCATGGCTAGCATTTGATGATAAGGGGACTTCTAACATTAGCATAGTTGGCCAGCGTTTGAACTGTGGCAATGGATATGGAGATCTTTGTGCCAATAAGATTTTTTGCTTTCTCTGTTTCTTGTTTCAACATTAAACATGGACAGTTTTGTCAGTTCTCAAGGTGTTACAGAAATGTTGGAGTCCTGTTTTACGTGAAGCACTTAAAGCTGAGCAATGGAAGTAAAGTGTATAATCAGATTTGTAAATCCTTCTTTTTTTTGTTAACATCTGCTTATCCTGTGATGCCTGTGAAATGGAAATTGGTAAATTTTTCAGGATAGAGGCTGAGGTTAGGACAGAAGGTCCTGATCTGGGGGTAGGTTCCAAAGAGGATTCAGTATTTGATGCTCATTCAGTTATGGTCTAAGAGAGAATGCTCATGAAGCCTCAAGACTGTATTCAAGAAAATCCCAGAAGATCAATTTTGTATGTTAAAACTTGAAACATTCAGAAGCCATTGATTAGGCTTGTGGGAGGATGAAGTAACGCTTTCATGAGAAACCTTTTCACTTGATCTTTTTTTCTTGTAAAACATTAAGAGGAGAGCCTCTGACATTAAAACTATCATAGAATCATTAGGTTGAAAAAGACCTTTAAGATCATCAAGTCCAACTGTTAACCCAGCACTGCCAAGTCCACCGCTAAACCATGTCTAAACCACCACATCTACACGTCTTTTAAACACCTCCAGGGATGGTGACTCCACCACTTCCCTGGGCAGCCTGTGCCAATGCTTGACAGCCCTTTCAGTGAAGAAATTTTTCCTAATATCCAAACTAAACCTGCCCTGGTGCAACTTGAGGCCATTTCCTCTTGGTCTGTTGCTTGTTCCTTGGGAGAAGAGACCAACCCCCACCTCACCACAACCCCCTTTCAGGTAGTTGCAGAGAGCCATAAGGTCCCCCCCCAGCCTCCTCTTCTCCAGACTATATAATCGGATGATTTGTAAAGAGGCATCTGTCATACTCTTGCCTGTAATTATTTTTGGCAAACTGAGGACTGAGGTGAGGGCAGAAAGCGTAACAGAGCTGTCAAGAATCCCAAATTGTGGAGACGCTGCAGCTTGCCTGGATGAGGGCTCTTGCAGGTTCTGGGTTCCTGGTCCATCTTGCAACTGTCAGAGATTTTACAGCAGCCGTAGGTGTAGATGGAGGGCTGCCAGTTTACCAGAGTGTTTCTCAGCTGAGATGGTTCATTATTCCACTGCCCTCATTTATGTATTTTCTAGTAGGTGAACAGGCTTTGCTGAATCATCTTTTCTGTTTAGAAATTTCAGATTATCCAGGTTAAATAGCAAAAGCAAGTGGTGCTCTTCCTTGGTCACAGACTGTCATTTTTATTTGCAACTACTGTAGTCAGTATAGAAATACATAAAACGTGTCATCCACTGTGGTGAAGAATTTGAGGGACTGCTGCTTTATATGGGAAACAACATTAAGTGCTGCTTGGGGAAAAAAAAATTTTAGCAAATTCTGTTTCGATTCAATTGTGCTGAATTATGAAAGAAACAGTTCTATACTTCCACTAAGTGCATTAGAAATGTCTGGTTTTTTTCAGTGGAATCAGTTGATTTAAAAATCCTCATACAAATTTTGGTTTTCTTTACGTTCTTTTGGCAGAAATTTTATTTGCTGTATCCTTTCCATGATTGGGGGGATATCAATGTTTAGTAAATCCTGTTAACTTCAGTAACTTGAAAATATACTGATTCAGAAAAGTGATAAATTCAGGTGTCAGTGTATGATGACATTTTAGAAGACTAAAACATGTACCAAAGCATAAACTACATGATTTACATGGTGTGATTTTTATTATTTTTTTTAAGGTCTTGCAGAGTCAACGTCTAGTTTTCCACAGATGAACAATCTAGATTTCATTTCACCAAGTGTCCTGTCTGAAGATGCAGTTGTAGTTGTTGGTAAAGGTATTACAAACCCAAAATTATTTCCTGTATCTCATCATGTCATTAAAATGAGGGAAAATGTATTTTTTTATAGAGTGGGAAAAGGACGAGTAGATTCCTTACAACATTTTAGATTGTGAACCACCTCTAGTCGAAAAGGGAATAAAAAAAGCTATGCTTGGGAATTTTGCGGTTAGTAGATACGCTGTTCCATTCCAACACGAGGAATGGCAAATTGTGGAGGTTAGGTGTTGGTTCTAGCCCAGTGTGCACACATGCACGTGCATCCATCCTACTCGGGAGAATAAGGTAAGAGTACCTTTGGGTGGAAATGGGCACTAAGTATAATAGCAATGTTTTTCTCTTCTTGAATTACTTTTAGTTTTCTTTAGTTTTTACTAAGTTCTGCTGAATAAAATGGTTATTTTGGTGAGGGCACAACATGATATGCCTTTCAGGTGTTTTTGGAACTCCTCCATCTTCACGAACATACAGCCAGTCCATAATGTGTGTAGCAAATGGAGATGACCCAGCCGTCAAAGAGGAGCCTGAGCCATCATCAGGGATCTGTGGGAGAAGCATCCAGCAGAACAGTGCCTCTCATCTCCATGTTGAAAATGAAAGAGAGGTGAGAATTTCAGAACTATTTTGTTGTCTTGCTTCCTGTCTACATGTATGAATACAGCTGAATACAGTTTTGCAAGTCTGTATGTTATCATAAACAAGAGTTTGATTAAAATAGATTAACTCATAGCTCAGGTGACTTGCCACAGTATACAAGTGCTTTTATTTATGTTATTTGTTGAGTTCCATTCTAAGGTGAAGACTAAAGCTGGATTATCAATTTGTCAACATCTGGTTGACTGCTTATTTAACCATCTCGCAAACAGTAATGAGAACAGTTACTTTCTTCTAATGTTTGCAGAATGTAAGCCTAAACCAGAAGTTTTGTGTAATTCAGTGTTATTTTTCTAACAAGTGATAAATCAAAAATGGGTTACGTTTTCCCAGTAAAGTGACTTACTGCAGATTGTTCATGTGGTTTAAATAAGATGGAATGGCGTGTCACTTGTTGGTTGGTAATGACATAGGAAATAAATTTGATCTTGGCATAGTCCACAGGAAACTTGTGTTCACATCTCAAACGGGCCATTACAAATGGCACCAATTACTAGTACTGTTCATACCAAATTAAGTAGACTGCATAAAGTGTGTTTTGGTCCTGTGATATTTTAGATTAAAAAAAAAATGGTATGAGGATCTCTTTGACTGCTGTACAGATCCACCAAAATTTGCCAGCAGTTCAGTAGTTGATCCTAAGACTGATTTTCAAGGCAATGCTGGAATCAGAAAAGGGCACTGAACCATATTTTTGCTATCCTGGACAAGCTATTTAACAATTAGACCTTAAAATCTTCTTTTTGTCTCTGTTATGGAAACTTTTCTTCTTTGTGTAAGTAACTGTATGTTTACTGGGGATGCAGTGAGTGCAAAAAAAGTAATTTCCTGCCTAACACTGTAGGTTAACAGTTCCAGCTAAATCTATTTTAGCATACAGTGTTAGGCACCCAGGCTTGGGCTCCTGCTCACCTAAGTGGGTAACTCTAT